GACAGAGTGAGACTCCAACTCAAAAAAAAAAAAAGAGGGCTGGCTTAAAAAAAAAATGTGGTACATATACATGATAGAATATTACGCAGCCACAAAGAAGAACAAAATCATGAACTTCACAGCAACCTGGAGGGACTTAGAGTTTATAACACTGAGTGATCTTTCACATAAACAAAGAACTGAGTATCACCTGTTCTCACTCATAAGTGGACCTTGAACAATTATTGTAATACTATAAGAAAAGGATTGGCAGTAGCAGGAAACTGCCAGGAGGGAGGGTGGAGAAGCAGGATCAGCAGTAGTGGGAGTCTGCCTGGGGAAGGGGGGGTACACCTCATCAACAAGGGTACCTGCATAATGAGCATTTGTATACCTAACCCTGAATTGTACCCCACATCTTTAAAATAAAAAAATAAAAAATTAAAATTAAAAATATTTTAAAAAGATAAAGTTTCTTTTTTGCCAGTCTTAGATTCTTATTTGTCATGAATAATACAAGTATGCTCTTCTGTGGAGGCAACAGACTAGAAGTGATAGCCTTCTACACAATTAATCTGTGAAACATGTGGGGATGTGACCTCCCATCTTCCTTACTTGAATTTTCCCAACCATGAGTCAGCAATGGCAGCTCCCAGGATAGGAGTGAAGTAGCAGAGGCTGCTGAAGGCATGGTATACAGATGTGGAGGTATCTTCATTCCAGTGCAGGAAATACAGGAAATATAGGGTCAGCACAGCTGAAGAGGAAAAAAAGGGAGGGGGAGAAAAGTCAAGACAGCTGCATCAAAGTGACTTATGGAAAAGCATATTTTACTGCTGGTCTTTGAAGGTGACCTTGGCCTTCACCACTCTCATTAGTGAAATGACTGAGAGGTGACTGACAAAGAGTAGAAGCAGGGACCATGGGGGGTGTAAAAGTGAATAGGGCTATGGTGAACATACAAATATCATACTCTTCCTTTCTGTCTGTGTGCACCCACAGCATCATTTTAGCCAACCATGAAGATAATGTGGTGCTTCCAATCTCTCTTCTCTCTCCTCTCCTCTCCATCCCAGCAATAATATAGTTTATAGACCTGGGACAGGTATGAAGAATGGAACTCAGATGATGAGAGCTTTCTCATTTATATTCTTTTTTTTTTTTTTGAGACAGGGTCTTGCTATGTAGCCCAGGCTGGTATGCAGTGACCATTTACCAGCAGGGTCATGGTGTACTCCAGTCTCAAATTACTAGGCACAAGTGATCCTCTTTCCTCAACCTCCCAAGTAACTGGGAGTACAGATGCATGCCACTGCATCTGTCTCTCCCCACTTATATTCTCACAGGCTGTGCTCTGGTTTCTGTCAGGCCTTTCTGATCTTGGATCATATGAGTTATTAGGTGAAATCCTATGAGACATTTATTGGAAGTCTTGGCCAAAGAAAAGGACCAATTTGGATCAATGAACAAATAAGGGGAATAGATGCATATAAAAAGATCAAACATCAGGTTAGGGTGATTGGAGAAGAGTAGGGCTCTGGGACACAAAATTACCTTTCATGCCATAATAGGAAAAGCGCTCGCAGAATTCATTCACCACAATGAAGGCAATGCTCAGTGGATAGTTGGAGCCACAGATTTTCTATGCAACAAAAAGGCAATGGTTCAAGCATGAGCTGTTTTTCTCTATTTCAATCACTAGATTACTTCACAGCTGAAAAATTCATTTAACTTAAATTGCCATGGTAGGCAATGTGGAGCAATAGTCTCTACTCTTCATGAAACAGATATTATCACACTAAAAGTGCTTACATTGCTGATTTAGGAGTAATAGAAGCTATTCTGAGTATTATTTATTCCTCATTATTTTAACAGGGAACTGATGAGACATTCTCTGTTCCTAGACACAAGGGCTGCTCGTCTTCCCAAAATTACTAAATAAAAAGCCTGGGGTTCTGGGTGGAAGAATAATTATACTTACTTTCTAGAAACAAAACAAAGAGGTAGCCTAAGGAATATCTGATATCCAAATAGCTTCAGATGTCAGTATCTGCTTAGTTCCACTATGGGGACTGACCCTCTTGCCCCACCTGCCTGTTTGCCATTCTTGGAGGAATCCTGGCAATGTGATGGTTTCCCTTTTGAGGATGCTAGAGCTAGGCACAGAGCCCAGCATGGAGGGCAGAGGTTCCTAAAGGTAAGCTGATTGATCACCTTGACTTTGGGCAGAGGAGTTCTCAAATCCTGTGAAATTAAACATCTACTCTTTCTACTAAAGAGATTCTGTAACATTTTCATGACAATCCTACTGGATGTTAAAAGGACTATGCTTTTTCATGCACTGTTATCAGTCAGAATATAAAGAATGTTATTTTTATTTTTATTTTTTGAGTCAGATCTCATTCTGTCACCCAGGCTGGAGTGCAGTGGCACGCTCATGGCCACCACAGCTTCGACCTGCTAGGCTCAGTTGATCCTTCTGCCTCAGTCTTCCAAATAGCTGGAACCACAGGTGCACACCACCATACCCAGCTATTTTTTTATTTATTAATTTTTTGATTTATTGTAGAGATGAAGTCTCGCCATGTTGCCTGGGCTGGCCTCAAATCCCTGGGTTCAGGCAGCCCTCTCACCTCTACCTCCCAAAGTGCTGGGATTACAGGCATGAGCCACTGTGAAGAATGTTATGTTTTATTTCAAATCTCTACCTATTACAAAAGCTCAACTAACTTGAGGGGGGGATGGAGATTGTCCTTAGTGCAATCGAGTCTTATCATGTGATTTATATTGCTTTATTTCATAGGAAACATATACATCTTTATAAGCAGCCTTAAATTATTTGGAACCAGAAGAGATATAACAAGATAAATAGATAAAATAATAAATTAGCATATCATTCTTTCATCCATATGGATATATGTAAACAACCATTCTAAATATTAATATGCTTACATATCATAATAGCTTGCTTGAAAGACACAATGAACTGAGCTTCTTACCGTCTCAGCTCACAGCTTGAGAATTATACAATCTGGAGTTAACATATTGTTGCTAGCTATATTACACTGTCACCGCTGTGTTAACATGGATGTGTCACTATACCTGTCTTCACGCCTCAGTTCTGTTATTCCAAAGAAATAAAAATAATACCACCTTTTGGCCCACAGTAAGAACTCAGTAAATATTGGCTATTATTACTAAATCCTCTCCACTTACAGGATTTTAATGTAAGGATTGGAAGAAATAATGAATTTAGAAGTGCTTTAACAAGTATAGAATTCAGAAAACTATTATTACTTCTCTGTTTCTCTGTCCTATCTCCCACTGTAAACTGGCAACACATAGTAACAGAGACTGGATCTATTCTGAAGCTTCCGTTGGTGTTCTGTAGAAGACTCTGCACACAGGGGGAACTAAGGGCTGCGTTTTTATATTGGTAAAGAAAGAACAATCACACACAGTACTCCAAGACAAGAATGCTTGCCAAGTTTCCCTGGACATTCAAATTGCTTTTTTTTCTCCCCAGGGAAACTCAGAATATGCAATGAATTACAGCAAAGCACTGGATCCCAAATGAAGTACTTTGACTATCTCTTCCTGTTGCTTCCTCTCCTAAGTAAAGGAAGCTTCTATTTAGATTTGGTTTTCAGGTGAATTCTAACTCCAAGAGAGAATAGTTTTTATACTCTAATACAGCTCAGCCTAAAGCTCCGAGGCCAGGGAAGAAAGTCAAAAGAGGGAGACTATTCTTGCTAGAGGCAGAATTGAATCTGAGGACTCACCAGAGGTGGCTTCTTAGGAGGCCTGGGAGGTCGAGGTGGTACCTCTTCAGTGGAGACAGGTGAAAAAAGAGTTTCCTTGGACTCATTTTTCTGGAAGGGATTCATGGCTGGCTCCTTACTCTCTCTCTCCTCAAGCATTTGGCTTCAGTAGGCAGTTCGGACAGCTGCCAGCCTGCTCTGAAAAGGGGGACTGGGAGGGGGAGAGAGGTGGCTTCAGCAACTGGGTTTAACCCTATGGGTGTCAGCTTCAGTAGCAGACTGATCCAGAGCAAAGCAGGAAGCTGTAGTTCAAAAGAAGGATTGCGTAAAAGGTAGACAGCATGGGGAAATGAGAACAACAATGCTAGAGAATGGATTAGAAAAGCTATGTTTAGGAAAGTTTATTTTTGCAAAGGAGTGCAAAATAGTTAAGAATACAATGCTTTTAGCATAGATTAAAAAACTGATTTCTGGGCTGGGTGAGGTGGCACATGCCTATAATCCCAGCACTTTATGAGACAGAGGTGGGAGGACTGCTTGAGGCCAGGAATTCAAGACCAGTGGGGCAATATTTTTTTTCTCTATGAAATTGTCTCTATAAAAAAAATGTTTTAAATTAGCTGGGAATAGTGGCATGTGCCTCTATTCCCAGCTACTCAGGCAGGAGGATCACTTGAGACCAGGAGATTAAGACTGCCGTGAGCAATGATCATACCATCACACTCCAACCTGGGAAACAGAGTAAGACCCTGACTCAAGAAAACAAACAAACAAACAAACAACTGATTTCACAGTAACAGTAGCTGTCATTATTAAGCATCTATTATATGAAAGGTTAATATATATGTAAATTGCATATATATGTATATATAACATATACTTGCCCTAGTTCTTATTGCTATCCCTATTTTACAGAAATGAATGCTCCAAGAGATTAAGTAATTTGTTCAAAGTTCACATGGCCAGTAAGTGACAGATCTGGAATTTTCACTATACCATGACAGTGGGAAAAGTAGAGATTAGTTATCAGTAATGATTTGGGTCATTATCCAGGTATGGAGATTATGTAAATGGAATGTAGGGATGTAGGGGAATTGAAATGCAGTGAAGAGGGACAGTTATCATAACACTGAATCTGAGCGGTAGAAAGATGTTGATTTTGGTTTTCAACATCATCAGGGTCAACTAGAAACATCCTATAAGCAATTAAAAAGGGAGAGCTGGCTGAGCTTGGTAGCTCAACCTGCAATCCCAGTACTTTGGGAGGCTGAGGCGAGTGGATTGCCTGAGCCAGCAGGTTCAAGACCCAACTGGGCAACTTGGTGAGCCCTCATCTCTACAATAAACCAAAAATTAGCTAGATGTGGTAGCACATGCCTGTAGTTCCAGCTCCTTGGAAAGCTGAGGCAAAAGGATCGCCAGAGCCCAGCAGGTCGAGGCTGCGGTGGCTGGGAGCATGCCACTACACTCCAGTCTGGGCGACAGAGTGAGACTCCAACTCAAAAAAAAAAAAAAAAAAAGGCAGCGCTAAAGAAAATGCGAGAAAAGGATTGCCGATATATATTTGAAAAACATTATTCTCTTTTGCTAAAGTCATTCCTTGTGTTTTCATTTTCTCACTTCAAGATGCATCCATCCTTTCAATAAAAAAAGGTTAAGCAAAAATTTTGAACCATTTATTTTCTAGGTAATGCTGCAAATATTATTTCCTGTAATTTCCATTGGAGGGAATTCCCTAATGACTCCAGAATATTATACTTAGTACTTATTAGGGGAGGAACAAGAACAAACATGAAGTTGATAGATGTACTTTATGCTGTATTATTTTTGGTAAGTCAAAGAGGTAAAAGAAAGAACAAAAGAGTATGGTGCCCCTCTAGACAGTCAAAAGAAAAGGGAAAGGAATGGCTAGAGTTATAAAAGAAATACAAAAAATGAGGATTGAACCAACAAAGTCAAGCAACACTAGAATGAATTATTTTATTTGAAAATATGAAGAAAAATTCTATAGCTCTATTCCTCACAAAATGTGTATATTAACTATTTGAATAATTTATTGACCTGCCTCAGGGACAAGATAAACTACTTTCTCCTCTCTAAACTCAGACTTTGACCATGCCTTCTCAGCTTCTATTACACTCCTCGTTTCTACTCTTTCCCACCAACCTTTACCCAAAGAAGAGTCCGGCTTCATTTCTTACTGTGGCATTAATGATTAAGCCATAGTTATTCTTTCAGGAAGTATTGCCTTTTCACCTGGTTTGGTTAATGACTTTGGATGCAAAAAAATGAACAGTAAGAAGTTACTAGTCAAGTTAACTAGTAGAGGCACAGATGCGGTGAAGATCTAATTATGTCAGTGACTTTCTTTGCTCTGGCTTTATACCTCTAGAATGACATGTGATATGGCACTGATAGAATGGCACCCATACACAATGCACTGATTTGTTTGTGTTCATATGTATCCCAAATACCAAACTTTAGAGTACTGGCATTGGTGTTCTGACAGTCCTTTGAACCTTAATCTTGTCCTGTATAAACTAAGCTTCCCTGAGGATAAGAATAATTTTTTCTTGAAAATTCTGATTCAGTAAAAGTCAGTAAACATGCACCTCTAGTAAGTTTTATGCCAGGAATTTGGGAAACACCGGTTTTCACTCCATTTCCTACTGTAGCCTGAAGGACATTTCAGAGGAGCACAGAAGGGGCAAAGCTACAACTAGAATCCGAGACTCCCAAGGCATAGAACCATTTATATATAAGGGTGCCTATCATTTTTGCTAACCTCAGATAGAAGGATAAAAGGAAAAAATGAGGCTCATGCCTATAATCCCAACACTTTGGGAGGGTGAGTCGGGAGGATTGCTTGAGCCCAGAGTTTTGAAGCCAGCCTACACAACATGGCAAGACCTCATCTCTACAAAATAACAAAAAATTAGCCAGGCATGGTGGCATACACCTGCCACCCCAGTTACTCGGGAGGCTGAGGCAAAAGGATCACCAGGAGGTTGAGGTTGTAGTGAGTTGTGATCCTGCTATAGCACTTCAGCCTGGGTGACAGAGTGACACTCTGATTCAAAAAGAAAAAAAAAAAAAAAGCACCTCCCAGGTAGAAATGAACATAAAAGACAGTACAATAGCCTGGCACAGTGGCTCACTCCTGTAATTCCAGCACTTTGGGAGGCCAAGGGGAGAGGATTGCCTGAGCTCAGGGGCTCAAGACCAGCCTGGGCAACTTGGTGAGACCTCGTCTCTACAATAAATCAAAAAACTAGTAGGGTGTGGTGGTGCACACTTGTAGTTCCAGCTACTTGGAAGGCTGAGGGGGAAGGATCACCTGAGTCCAACAGGTCGAGGCTGCAGTGGTAATGAGCATGCCACTGTACTCCAGCCTGGGCAACAGAGTAAGACTGACTGAAACAAACAAACAAACAAACAAAGAGACAATACAATAAAAGTGAAAGAATTGAAGTATCGGTGACAGAATATTTATGCACTTAGTGATTGTAACATTGGGTAATATTAATTTTATTTTTTAGAGTTAAGGTTTTATACTCTCACCCAGGCTAGAGTGCAATAGCACAATTATAGCTCACTGAAGCCTCAAACTCCTGGGCTCATGCAGTCCTCCTGCCTCAGCCTCCAAAGCAGCTAGGACTACTGATATATGCCAACATGCCTGGCTAATTTAAAAAAAAAAATTTAGAAGCCAGACATGGTGGCTCACGCCTGTAATCCAAGCACTTTGGAAGGCCAAGGTAGGAGGAGGATTGCTTGAGCCTAGGAGTTTGAGACCAGCCTAAGCAACATAGTGAGAACTCTCTACAAAAAATTAGCTGTGTGTGGTGGTACACACCTGTAGTCCCAACTACTCAGGAGGCTGAATTGGATCATCTGAGCCCAGAAGGTCAAGGCTTAGCCGAGATTGTGCCACTGTACTTTAGCTTGGGAGACAGAGTGAGACTCTGACTCAACAAAGATTTTTTTTTAGAGATGGGAGTCTTGCTATGTTGCCCAGGCTAGACCTGAACTCCTGGCCTCAAACAATCCTGCCTCAGGCTCCCAAGTTGCTAGGATTACAGACAAGAGCCACCATGCCCAACTCAGATAAAATTTACTGGGACATATGATAAAGTTTTAAAGTTATATGTACATAGAAAGGAGACTGAAGCTCTAAAAATGATAAAATTAAATATGGTCAGAGGCAAGGTCTCAACAAATTGCCCAAGCTGGTCTCGAACCCCTGGGCTCATGCAATCCTTTTGCCTCGGCCTCCCAAAGTGCTGGGATTACAGATTTGAGCCACCACAGCAACAGAGTGAGACTCCAACTCAAAATAAACAAACAAACAAATAAATAAAAGGTGTGGTGGCTTATGTCTGTAATTCTAGGACTTTGGAAGGCCAACACAGGAGGATTCCTTGAACTTTAGTTGGAGACTAGTCTGGCCAACATAGTGATATCCCTCCCCGGAAAAAACAAACAAACCCAAAAAACCCCTTAAAAAATTCGCCAGGTGTTGTGGCAGGCACCTGTAGTCACAGCTACTTGGGATGCTGAGGTGGCAGGATCACTTGAGGCCAGCAGGACAAGGCTGCCATAAGACATGATTGTTGTGAGAGTGCTACTGCACTCCAGCCTGAGTGACAGTGAGACTCTGACTCAAAAAAAAAGAAAGAAAATTTAAGAAATCTCAGGACCAGGCACAACAACTCATGCCTATATTCTCAGCACTTTGGAGATGAGGTGGGAGGATTGCTTGAGTCCAGGAGTTTGAGACCAGCCTGGGCAGCATACCAAGACCTTGTCTCTACAGAAAATTAAAAAAAAAAAATTCGTTGGGTGTGGTGGTGCGCACACCTGTAGTCCCAGCTCCTCTGGAGCCTGAGGCAGAAGGATTGCTTGACCTTAGAAAGTCGAGGCTGCAGTGAGCTACTGGTATGACACTGCACTTCAGCCTGGGTGATAGTGAGGTAAAACTCCTGACTTAAAAAAAGTCGGGTGCAGTGGCTCATGCCTGTGATCTTAGCACTTTGAGATGCCGAGGTGAGAGGATTGCCTGAGCCCATGGGTTTGAGACCAGCCTGGACAACTTGGCAAGACCTCATCTCTACAATAAATCAAAAAATTAGGATGTGGTGGGTGGTTCAAGCTTGTAGCACCAGCTACTTAGAAGGCTGAGGCAGGATCACCTGAGCCCAGCAGGTGGAAGTTGTGGTGACTGTGAGCGTGGCACTGCACTCCAGCCTGAGTGAGAGTGAGACTGACTCCAAAAAAAAAAAAAGGGAGAGAAGAAAAAAATCACTCTCAATATTAGCAACTTTCAGTAAAAACCATTATGATTTGTATTACTTTATTAAACATATTTTACTAGTTACTTTGAATTATGAACTTGCTATAGTTAAGTAAAAAATAACACAGTTGTAGTTCTTAGTATTGATAAACAAAACAGAAATAGGATCAGGCACTGTGGCTCATGCCTGTAATTCCAGCACTTTGGAAGGCCGAGGCAGAAGGATTGCTTGAGCCCTGCATTTGGAGACTAGCCTGGGCAACAGAGTGAGACCTCGCCTCTGCAAAAAATTAAAAGTTAGCCTGGGGCCAGGTGCGGTGGCTCATACTTATAATCCCAGTACTTTGGGAGGTGAGATTGCCTGAGCCCATGGGTTTGAGACCAGCCTGAGCAACTTGGTAAGACCTCATCTCTACAATAAAACAAGAAAAATGAGCTGAATTTGGTGGCGCATGCCTGTAGTTCCAGCTACTTGGAAGGCTGAGGCAGAAGGATCACCTAAGCCCAGCAGGTCGAGACTGCAGTGGCCCTGAGCGTGCCATTGCACTCCAGCCTGGGCGACAGAGTGAGACTCCAACTCAAAAAAAAAAAATTAGCCTTGCGTGGTGGCATGCACCTATAGTTCCTGCTACTCAGAAGGCTGAGGAGTAAGGATTGCCAGAGCCCAGGAGGCCAAGGGTGCAGTGAGCCATGATCCACTGCACTCCAGTCTGGGTAACAGTGAGACCCCCAACTCAAAATAAAAATAAAAATGAAGTAAAATCAAGATAGATTAACTAAAGGTAGGCTACAGAGAAAAAATAAAAGCAAGAGAGATTAATAAAAATTTATGGATTCTTAAAAGACACATTAACTACAGAAATTCCAGTGGTAAGAGGTGAAGTTTTATTAAAAAATATTTATAATTGGCAAAACCTGGAAGTAACCAAGATGTTCTTCAGTAGTCGGGTGAATTTTAAAAAATGGTACATCAAGACAATAGAATATTATTACATCTTAAAAAGAAATGAGTTACCAAGTCATAGAAAATATGGAGAAAACTTAAGTATTATTAAGTGAAAGAAACTAATATGAAAAGGTTATATATTGTTTGATTCCAACTTTATCATGGTCTGGAAAAGGCAAAATTATGGCAGCAGTAACAAGATTAGTGGTTGCTGGGGGCCAGAGGGGAGGAAGGGATGAATAGGCAGAGCATGGAGACTTTTTAGGACAAACTATTCTGAATGTTACTACAATGATGGATATTGACAGTGGAGTCAGAAGAAATAGGAACTCTCTGTACTTTATGGTCAATTTTTCTGTGAACCTAAAACTGCTTTAAAATATAAAGTTTATTTTTTAAAAATCCTTTTGTAGGTCAGGTGCGGTGGCTCACACCTATAATCTCAGCATTTTGGGAGGCCGAGGCAAGAGGACTGCCTGAGTCCAGGGGTTCGAGACCAGTCTGGGCAACTTGCGGAGACCTCATCTCTACAAAAAAAATTAGCCAGGTGTGGTGGTGTGCGCCTGCAGTCCCAGATACTTGGAAGGCTGAGGTGGAAAGATGGTCTGAGACCAGCAAGTCAAGCCTGCAGTGGCCGTGAGCATGCTACTGCACTCCAGGCTGGGCAACAGAGTGAGACCCCAACTCAAAAAAAAAAAAACAAAACATCAACAAGGGTACCTGCATAATGTTTGCATATTTAACCCTGAATTGTACTCCACATCTTTGTAAGAAAAAAAAAACTGCTAGTCAGTGACTTTCTACTATAATCTAATATTTATCATTTCGCTCAAATTAAACTACATATCATATATATTACTTATCTCCTTAGCACTTATCTGTTTATTTTTCACTCAAAATTGATGAAAAATATTGCAAGAGATAACAGCAGTTTCATTAAAATATTTAACTTCACCTTTATTCTAAATTATAGCTTATTTTTTTTTGATTGGAAAATATAGTTTATTTAGAAAGCAAATGAGAGATACAGAGAGAGAGAGAGAGAGAGAGAGAGAGAGAGAGAGAGAGAGAGAGAGAGAGAGAGAGATACACCTTCCCAAGGTAGGAGAGGGGGCCAAAGCTTAGGGAACATGGCAGTGGCCATAGCTCAAAGAGCACATGATCACACCAGAGTCTAGTAAAGCGAATGGCCTATAGCTTAATTTTATCAAGAAAATATTTTCAGCCATAAGAAATATATAGAAAAGGCTCAGAGATATAAATTAAAATGATGGACATTTATTATAAATCAATAATTTTGACATTTCACAACTGGAGACAGCATTGTGGTAGAATTGTACTACACTTAGATTCTAGAACATCTGATCTGCCACTCGTTAACTAACAATACATGGGACAAGTTACCTAAACTCTGAGTCTGGCTTCTCATCTATCAAACTTCACCAAAATTTTCTTAAGATTAAGGCCAGGCATGGTGGCTCACACTTGCAATCCCAGCACTTTGGGAGTCCAAGGTGAGAGGATTGCTTGAGTCCAGGGGTTTGAGACCAGCCTGGGCAACATAGTGAGGCCTCCTCTCTACAAAAATAAAAATAAAAAAAAATCCAGGTGTGGTGGTGCATGCCTGTAGCCCCAGCTACTTGACAGGCTAATGCAGAAAGATCACTTGAGACCAGGACTTTGGGGTTGCAGTAGTAAGCTATGATTGCACTACAGTACTCCAGGCTGGGTGATGAAGCAAGACCCTGCCTCAAAAAAAAAAAAAAAAAAAGTTTTTTTTGTTACAATTAAGCTAACCAGTTTTTTTTTTTTTAAAGTGGGAGTCTCTGTCACCCAGGTTGGAGTGCAGTGGCATGCTCACGGCCACCACAGCCTCGACCTGCTGGGCTCAGGCGATTCTTCCGCCTCAGTCGTCCAAGTAGCTGGAACTACAGGCATGTGCCATCATGCCCAGCTAATTTTTCTTGATTTATTGTAGAGATGAGGTCTCACCAAGTTGCCCAGGCTGGTCTTGAACCCGTGGGGCTCAGGCAAACCTCTCACCTCAGCCTCCCAAAGTGCTAGGATTATAGGTATGAGCCACTGTGCCCAGCCTTTTTTGTTAAGATTAAATGAAGATAACACATAAAAATGCCTCAATAAAATGCTAAAAATATAACATAAACTGAAAATTCTGAATCAGATTTTGTTTATTATATCATCAAAAGTTAAGACACATTTTCCTATCTTCAGAATTTTTATTCTTAATACAAAATAAATTATCACATGCATGTAAATTTTTATAGCTAAACATTTCTTCAGTCATCACTGTCGCTTCCTGATTCACTCAGCTGCAAATCATCTCCTAAAATAAAAAAGAAATAACAACATTGTAATGATTATATATTTAATCTTAATTTTTACATAACATAAATTTTATACAAAATATAACCCCAAATGTGATTGTTTAGCTAGCATTTTGTAACTAATAATCAGATTGCATATTCTATAATTTACTCACATAATTAGTACTCATATAATTAATACTGCCAGTAAAGAAAAAAAAAATACCATCAAACTTCAGCATAGTGTTAGTACTACCAGGTATCTAGCTATGTCTTCTTTTACTACCAACACTGCCCCTTTTTTCACACCACTCATTTAATTACATTAGGGAATGAGAGAAAGTACGGTTTAGAAGGTCAGACTATCACCTTGAAGCATAAAAAAAAAGTCATAATTTTTTACTTAAAATGCAGTCAAAATCATTAAGTAATATATGTCAAGAATAATTCTAATGTCATTGATTCCTTTTGTAATTCTTCTCTCTATGTACTTAATCATGGAGCTTATATTTCAGTGGGGGAGATAGACAATAAACAAACATATAACATATTGCCAAGTAGGGATAATTGCTATGCAAAAATGAAGATGGGTATGGAAATAGTGGCGGGAGGTGCTATTTTAGATGGGGTAGTTAGGGAGGACTTCGTGAGGGGTGACATTTGAACAGAGACCCAAATACAGAAAGGAAGTCGTTAAAAAAAAGCGGGGGGGCAGTAGGTGGGGAAGAAGAGTTCAGGCTAAAGCAACAGCAAGTACAAATGACCCAAGGCAGGAACATGCTTGTGTTCTCTGACTTGCAAGAAGGCTACAGTGGCTAAAGTGGGATGAATAAGGAAGATGTCAGTAAATGAGGTGAGAAAGATATCCAGAAGGCCATAGTAAAAACTTGTTTGAAATGTAATACAAATTCATGGGAAAATTTTAAGCAGACAACTAACTTGAACCCAGTTATATATCAGTGAATACACTCTAATGGTGTGGAAGAAACAGAGAAGCAGGGAGAGCAGTTATAAGTCTACGGTCTTTCAAGTAAGAAATAATGTTGGCTTTACTTAAGTGGTCCAGCGGAGATAGTGCTAAGTGTCAGATTCATAATATAAAGATAGAGTTTATAGGACTATTTAAAACACTGGACTTAGGGTCTAAGAGAAACAGAAGTGAAGGATGACCGCAAATTTTCTGGTCTGAACAACTAGAAAAATGGTGGTATCATTTACGGAGACGAGAAACACCAGAGGAACAAGGTTGTGGTAGAAAAATCACAAGTTCAGTCGAGCGCAGTGGCTCATGTCTGAAATCCCAGCACTTTGGGAGGCCGAGGTGAGAGAATTGCCTGAGCCCATGGGTTCAAGACCAACCTGGGAAACTTGGGGAGACCTCATCTCTACATCACATCAAAAAATTAGCTGGCATGGTGGCATGTGCCTGTAGCTCTAGCTACTTGGAAGGCTGAGGTGGAAGGATCGCCTGACCCAGCAAGTCAAGGCTGCAGTGGCTGTGAGTGTGCCACTGCACTCCAGTCTGGGTGACAGGACTCAAAAAAAGAAAAAAAAAAAAAAAAGGCTGGGCATGGTGGCTCACACCTATAATCCCAGCACTTTGGAAGGCTGAGGTAAGAGGACTGTCTCAGCCCATGGGTTCAAGACCAGCCTGGACAACTTGGCGAGATCTCATCTCTACAATAAATCAAAAAATTAGTCGAGCATGGTGGCGTGTGCCTGTAGTTCCAGCTATTTGGAAGGCTGAGGTGGAAGGATTGTCTGAGCCCAGCAGGCTGTGGTGTCCAGGAGCATGCCACTGCCCACCAGCCTGGGTAACAGAGTGAGACTCCAACTAAAACAAAAAAACAAATAAAGGAATAAGAATGTTCAACTTGATATGATGCCCATAAGTTGTTCAAGTAACAAACTCAAATGTCCGCTGAGTTCCATTTGCCTTTATAGATTTTATGCTATTAAGGTTATATGCACAGTGGCATTGCTATGCTGCTAGTTAAAATGTTCCATCACATTTTGAAGATATAGGATTAGCCTTTGAATATAGGTGACTAGTAAAGAAAATGTGTTTTCAATCAAAACAGTCATTATGCTCTGGAAAAAAGAAGTTTACCCATGCAAATGTATTCAGAAATTAAACCAGTGGTTCTCAATGACAGTACTCCTGCCACCAAGGAGATGTGATATAAATTTGCACGAGGAGTTGATTGTCCTGATGACTGCAGGTTCCTAGTGGACATATTGTGTAATAGTGGGGACTGGGTCTCAGGTGGCCCACTCCTCAGATAGTGAACATTGTACCCAACTGGTAATTTCCAAATCTTTTCTAAATTTTTATGGTAGAGATGAGGTCTCACCAGGTTGCTCAAATCTGCGGGCTCATACAATCCACTTGCCTCATTCTCCCAAAGTGCTGAGACTACAGGCTGAGCCACCAAGCCCGGCCAATTTCCAAATGTTAATGCCTCTCCCTGCCACTCCCCTTATTGGTGCCCCCTGGGTTTATTATTTCCATCTTTGTGGCCATATGGTGTTTGGTTTTCTGTTTCTGAGTTAGTTCACTTAAAATGATGATCTCCAGCTCTATCCGTGTTGTCGCAAAGGAGCATTTCATTCTTCTGTATGGTTGCATAGTATTCTGTGGTGTATATATGCCAATCATTGGTGAGAACTTGGTTGGTTCCATGATTTTGCTACTGTGAATAGTGCTGTAATGAACATATAAGTACAGGCATCTTTTTTAACATAATGATTCATTTTTCTTTGGGTAGATCCCCAGTAGTAAGATTGCTGGGTCAAATTATAATTCCAATTTTTAGTTCTTTGTTAAATCTCTATGCTGTTTTCCATAGAGGGTGAACTAATTTACAGCCCCACCAACAGTGAATGAGCAATTCCTTTTCTCTGCAACCACGCCGACATCTGTTGTTCTATCACTTTTTTTTGAGTCAAGGTCTCACTCTGTCGCCCAGGCTGGAGGGCAGTGGCATGCTCATAGCCACCGCAGCCTCGACCTGCTGGGCTCAGGTGATCCTTCTGCCTCAGTCTTCCAAGTAGCTGTGACCACAGGCATGTGCCACCACACCCAGCTAATTTTTTTTTATTTATTATAGAGATGAGATCTCGCCAAGTTGCCCAGGCTGGTCTCAAACCCGTGGGCTCAGGCTATCCTCTCACCTCGGCCTCCCAAAGTGCTGGGATTACAGGTATGAACCACTGTGCCTGGTTGTTCTATCACTTTTTAATAATAGCCATTCTGACTTGTGTAAGGTGATATCTCATTGTGGTTTTAATTTGCATTTATCTGATGAGTAGTGATGTTGAGCATTTTTTCATGTTTGTTGGCCACTTGTGTGTCTTTTTTATTTTTTTTTTGAGTTAGAGTCTCACTCTGACGGTCAGATTGGAGTGCAGTGGCAGGCTCACGGCCACCGCAGCCTCAACCTGCTGGGCTCTGGTGATCCTTCTGCCTTAGCCTTCCAAGTAGCTGGAACGACAGGCATGTGCCATGCCCAGCTAATTTTTTGATTTATTGTAGAGATGAGGTCTCGCCATGTTGTCCAGGCTGGTCTCAAACCTGTGGGCTCAGGCAATCCTCTCGCCTCCATTTCCCAAAGTGCTGGGAATACAGGCGGGAGCCACTGTACCCAGCTTGTGTGTTTTCTTTGAGAAGTATCTGTCTGTTCATGTCCTTGCCCACTTTTTGATGGGGCTGTTTATTTTTTTCATGGTGAGTTGTTTGAGTTCCTTGTAGATTCTATTAGCCTTTGGTTTGAGGCATAATTTGCAATTATTTTCTCCCGTTCTGTAGGTTTCTGCTCACTCTGTTGATTATCTCGTTTGCTGCCTGCATCCATATTCTTAAGTGAAATTGGTCTTCAAGACTTTTTCTCTTGTTCCTGTTTGACTTTTTTTTTTGAGTTGTAGTCTTACTCAAGCTGGAGTGTAGCGGTACAACCATGGCTTGACCTCCCAGGCTCAGGCAATCCTTCTGCCTCAGCTTCCTGAGTAGCTGGATTAAAAGTGTGCACTGCTATGCCAGGTTAAGTTTTTTATTGTTTTGGAGAGACGACTCATTATGTTGCCTATGCTGGTCTTGAACTCCTGGGTTCAGGTAATCCTCTCACCTTGGCCTCCCAAAGTACTAGGATTACAGGTGTGAGTCACTATACCCAGCCGTCTGTTTAGTTTTAATATTGAGGTTATCTTGGGATTATAAAAGAATTAAGTAGTTTTCCCTACTTTTCTATTCTCTAAAACATTTTTAGAAGAATTACTTGTTCCTGGCCAGGCCCAGTGGCTCACACCTATAATCCTAGCACTTTGGGAGGCCAAAGTGAGAGAACTGCCTGATCCTATGGGTTAGAGACCAGATTGGGCCACTTGGTGAGACCTCATCTCTACAATAAATCAAAAAATTAGCTGGGCGTGAGGCACATGTCTGTAGTTCCAGCTACTTGGAAGGCTGAGGCAGAAGGATCGCTTGAGCCCAGCAGATTGAGGTTGTGGTGGCTGTGAGCATGCCACTGCACTCCAGCCTGGGCCACAGAGTGAGTCTCCAACTCAAAAAAAAAAAAAAAATTACTTGTTCCTTAAAATTTGTTAAAATTTAGAGTAAGCAGGGTGTGGTGGCTCACACCTGTAATTCTAGCACTTTGGGAGGTGGACGACAGAGGATTGCCCGAGTTCAGGGGTTTGAGACTATCCTGGGCAACTTGGTGAGACTTCTTCTCTACAAAAAATAAAAAAATTAGCCAGGTATGGTAGCGGACGCCTGTAGTTCCAGCTACTTGGAAGGCAGAAGGATTGCCTGAGCCCAGCAGGTCGAGGCTGTGGTGGCTGTGAGTGTACCACTGCACTCCAGCCTGGTTGACAGAGAGAGACTACGACTCAAAAAAAGAAAAAAAAAAATTAGTTGGGCATGGTGGTGCAGGTTGACGCTGAGGTGGCCACGAGCCATGCCACTGTACTCCAGTCTGCGTGATACTTCAAAAAAAAAAAAAAAAAATTCATTGTGCGTGAT